TCCCCCCCCCCCCCCGCTCAGCCGGCGGCACCGCAAGTGCGGGAAGGGGGGAGGTGGGGCTCTTTTGCCCGGACTCCGTGAGTGGGCGGGCGGTTGACTAGCCCCCCGATGTAAGCGCTAAATAGGGGTCTGGCTGTAAACGCGCGGCTCGACTATTGTCGGCGGTGACTTGCGCTTGCAGCAGGCGTGGATTGGGGGGCGGGGGGGGGTGAGTCTTGGCCAAGTTTTTGTCGCTTGCAAGGGGAGAGGCTGCCGGATCCAACCGGCCTCTCTCCGCAAGCAGTTCGTACAGAACACTATACACGCCGCTGGCTGATAAATTCGTGCGGTACACAAGGGGGAGGGAACGAAACCAACCCGCGCATCATCGGCTAGGGAGAGGCTGTAGGTCCTTGTTGTGTGAACCACTTTTCTCATATTGTTTTTGTCCATGCGTGAGAGAGGTCGTCGATCATTTCCGGGATTTGTTTGGTCGTAGCGGTGGGATTAGGGTTCTGGGGGGTGTCGTTGGTTTCGAAGTATGGTTCCGATTATGCATCCGATCGTCGTTATCAGACCGACGGATCCGGCGTGTATTTTTTTACAATTACGAAAAAGTATGTACTGTTTTCTTTTTTTCGGGGAGCATCCCATCGTTCGTTCTGTCTTGGTTTTTGGTGTATTTGGGCGTTTACACCGCACACGAAGCGTGTACCATGAGTTATATTTCACGAGAGATGATGATGATGATGATGATGTGAATGCCTGCAAGATGCAGTTGGTCGTCCGCACGTCCATGTTTTATGTTTGTTTTCGCGGGGGGATTCATCCCGAACGCGATAGATCGAGGCAGCTCCCATTGATCCGTTGGTCCATGAAGTCCGGGGTATTTCTCAAAAACATGTTTTTGCTGCCGTTCTGTTTGTGTCAAGCCATGTGCACAACCGAACGCGCCCGCTTTGTCTGTTTGTTGGGTGTCACGAGTATAGGTTTAGATTATGTGTATTTCTGCACGTCGCTCCCGTTCTTCTTTCTTTGTGGGCCTTCTACCCTTCCCTAGGCAGCATGAGGATTGTGAGCGCGATTACTATTTCTTTATTCGAGCTGGAGGTTCCCGTTGCCCAGGGCGGGGG